GGTGATCCTCTCAAAATCAAATGACACCAGTGACATAAGCCGCACATTCAAACGAAGAGGAGTTGAGGTAGTTCAACACTCCAGTGAAAATAGCGGCTGGGGAAGATCAATCTATTTTATTTTCCCCTTCCCTTCCTTTATTCTTTTTGCCTATTGATGTAGATTGCTGGAAGCGAGTTATCTTGGGAAAAACAAAACCTTTGAGCTGCCTCCTAAGTGGGAAGCTGGGGTGCCACCGTAAACTCTCCCCTGCCTAGGTCCCCCCGAGTAACACAGGGGTCCCCTCTGGCCCCACTCAGGCTTCTACTGTGGGGACTGTCCTGGCCCTGGGCACAGCACGGCTGCCGTCTCCTGGCTCTTCGAGTCCTCTCGTTCCTTTTATTATTATTATTATTATTATTGTTTTTTGGGTCATACCCGGCGATGCTCAGGGGTTACTCCTGACTTTGCACTCAGGAATCACTCCTAGCGGTGCTCAGGGACCTTATATGAGGCTGCGAATCGAACCCGGGTTGGCCGCATGCAAGGCAAACGCCCTACCTGCTGAGCTATATCGCTCCAGCCCCTGAGTCCTCTCGTTTCTAGCTCCCATTTTCTGTGCTTGCTCGAGGCTGGCTCTGGGGCCTCTTCTTTCTCTGTTCTCTGACCTTCTTCCCAAATGGAAACCCTCAGAATAAATTTTCCCAAGCAGTAAATGTCACTGTCACTAGTGTTCCTCAAAACCAAAAAAGGAGAAAACTGTCCAATGTCCTTGTATTGAAAGTTGGCTCTCCGTCTTTCTCCTTCCCCAAATCTTTGCTACGATGGGATGTCGGGAGAGGAAAATACCTGTTCTGTACTCAGCATCAAGGTCTGATAGTCTGTGTCTTGCCTGTGAGCTAGCTCTCCGGCCTGGAACTGACTTTTTAGGGGAAATGGTTTAAGAAGGAAGGAGCATGAAAGCTGTCTTGGGAGAGAGTGTGACTTCACTTTCTCCCTGCCACGGTTTCTGCTATCCAGAGTCTGTAACCAGAAATGTTGTGAGCTGGAAATAGGGTTAGACTACCAGGCCCGAGATCCTAAGCCCAGTTTCCTGTACAGGGCTGGCGTAGGGTGCATGCTCAGAAAATGTTCAGTGAGCAACAGAAGCAGCAAAGAAACCTGTTGAAGAGAAAGGGAAAGTTTTTAAAGACAATATTAAATTGACAATAAATTGAGACTGTTGGTAGATCATTACCTGGTTTCATTGGAAAGCCTGCGGGTTTTATTCTAGCAGATAACCAGAGAAGTAGAAAATCTGGGGCTTGAGCCATGGTAAAGGGTTAAGCGCTTGCCCTGCATGCTAGTTCCGCCCCAGCTCAGCCAGGGGTCACTCCTGAGCACTCCCTAGCCCCAACCACCACCAAGTATGCCTCAAAAACCAAATGAAAAACCCACAAAACAAATAATGAAGGACCTAGTATGTTGAAGGTCACACTAAAGCATGGGAACAGGATGGGAGAAGGTAAACCTTTCATTCCAGAGGGAAAGTAACGGGCTGGGCCTTCGCAGTCCTTGGGGACAGGGACAATGAACCCCGAGAGCCTTAGCAATCACCGAGCAGGGACAGTGGGCCCCAAGGATCCTGGCCGGAGAGGACACTCAAAGGCCGCCTGAGTCTGCCGCCTCCGCAGCCCACTCAGGATGCCGTGGCATGTGGCACCTTGAGGTAATCACTGCAGGAGAGTTTACTGAGAGTTTACTTTGCTGAAGTGTCTTCAGGTAAGATGGTTACAGATTTTAACATTTTGGTGCCTGAGTGGCTTCATCCCATGTGGACTGGGCTTAGGGCGGGGCCCAAGTGGCATTCAGAGAGCCCAGGTGTCTCTCCCTGCAGGCCCTTCAGAGTGAGGGTGCGGGGCTGACTCAGGCCTCCTGGTACCCTGGGCCTCCGGGGCCACGGCAGCACCTTAGCCCTGCAGTGCTCTCTCTGTAGAGAAGTGGTTTCATCTTATTACTCTAAAATGCGTCATTTCTTGAAAATGTGCCATTAGGGCCACTGACTTGGCCCATAAAGTGGTGCTGCTGTGTGTCCTGACCCATCTCACCGACACAGCCCACGTGCCAGCCGGAAGAGGAGGGATAGGGTCTAAATAAAAGGCAGTATTTCTTTTGTTTGGCCCAAGCGACACGCTGGGAATTAATATCTTCAAATCCTTTTGAGTACTTTCTTACGCATTTTCATTTCGCATCTGCCTTCTAGGAGCATTTTATAGACATTGACCTTGAAGCAGTTTTTCAGCTGAGCTTTTTACTCAAGGATGCTGTGCATACAGAGACGTATGTAAGGCAGCGTTTCCCAGTTAGTTTCCTTGGAGTGTCCCCAGGTGCCCAATCCAGACCGAGAGCAGACCCTCCCGACCTCTTCATGCCTTCTCTGCCCCTGTCCCTCCTGTCCCCACGCCCCAGCTCAGGGGAGCCCCTCTGCTTATGGCTTGTCTGGTCTGGGGAAATGGTATTAACAGTACATTGAAAGCGTTTTGGAGATGACCAAGTTGCAGGGGAAGAAGATTAGGAATATAATGGCTTCCCGTTTTGTTTAGGAAAAAAAAAAGATTGAACTGAAGCAGTGAACTTGGGTTGAAGTCAAGGGCTTGGGACAGTTTGAGTTGGTGTCCTCAAGTCGTTGGTTTGTAGACAGTACAAGGCTTTCTTCTCTATAAGTCTCTGTTTTGATGAGAACCAAATTTTTTTCCCTGTGTCTTTGCCTTGGAATGACACTATTTACACCAGAGCTTCCCAGACTTACTCAGCCTACCACTTCCTTTTCAGAAAAAAAAGTTCCCTACTGTCCGTGGTGGATATCTGTGTTCCTTAACAAACAGAGAGCATCCCTCGTTATCACCCACTTGGGCAAACACTGATCAGACTGAAGGAAAGTCTGTTTGCCTTCAACACTCTGTCATCTGTTTTCTGATTATTAAGTCAGTGTGTTGGTGTAGACATATTTCCGCGGCATTCACAATGTATGAAAAATGAATGGTTTTCTCTATTTTACACATGTGTATTTATATTTAGGGCTTGGGAATTAATGACTCACAGCACACTTAAAATTAATGCTTTCATTTAGAGGAGAATAAACAGTAGAAAGTACATATGGAGAGCATTTTCCAAACCAGGGCCACTATTTGGAACATCTCTACCCTATTGTATTTTTTTGTACTTTAAAACCAGTTCCCAAGGTCTTAGTCAATTTCTTACCTTTGTTATAGATTAAGTTGACTCTTAAAGTTTTTGCTACTTAGAAGAAAGCATATATGCATGCATGCTTGTTTAAGTGGAAAGTTGCCAGATTCAAATAGGAAAGTTTGTCTGTTCAACAGTTGTCTTGGTGCCTTGTTGATAGTTAAGTTCTTGGAAATTTGTCTGAGATTCCAGTGTTAAGACTTAAACCATGGAACTTGGTCTTCAGCTAGGGCTCCTAAATAGAAGTTTATTTGGTTCAGTTCTAGTAGGTTCCTTCTTTTTTTTTTTTTAATTTTTATTTATTGAATCATCGTGAGAACAGTCACAAAGCCTTTCAGTTCAAATCTCGGTCGGTCATACAATGATCAAACACCCGTCCCTTCACCAGTGCACATTTTCTACCACCAAGAACCCCAGTATACCCCCCCTCCCACCCACCCTCTACCTGTGTGGCAGATTTTCACTTTTCTCTCTCTCTCTCTCTCTCTCTCCATTGATCACATTCATTACAACAAAAGACCCAACATTGTAATTTGGAATTTTCCCCAACATTCAGGTAGTAGGTTCCTTCTTAACTGATATTGTACTCTGGCTGTTTTTTAAAGTTGTGGTAAAATATATCTTACATAAAACTTTAATATTTTAACCATTTTGAAGTAGACAGTTTTCTCCTTGGTTTCTGGAATTTTTGTTTATTCATCTGAACTCTAGTCAACAAGTGTTCAGTGAGGATCAGCCATGTGCTTTATGCTATGATTGGCAGATCATTGGGAAATATGTGTGTATAAATATATACATATATGTGTATATATATATATGGCTGTGCAACACATCATCATAGAAGGAAATATATATATAATAAGCTACTGAGAGTTTCCTGCCTGCACTGGAGGGCCTGGTAAGCTCTCTGTGGTATATTTGATATGCCAAAAACAGTAACAATAACAGGTGTCATTCCCCTGACCCTGAAAGAGCCTCCAATATGGCAGCATTGGGAAAATAAGTAGAGTAAGGAGAGGCTGCTAAAATCTCCGGGCTGGGACGAATGGAGTCGTTACTGGTGCCTACTCGAGTAAATCGATGAACAACGGGATGGCAGTGACAGAGATACAGTGATACATATAAGATATATAAATACGACTTCTCAAAAGTATTAAGCATCTTTAGAACAACAAGATACATATATACCAGTCAAATAATTATTTATGGTAGGAGGTCTTGAAAGAACACGAAAGTTTTATATAAAGACTTCACTTGATCTTTGATTCAGGATTGGACGTTGTCTTCTTTGAGAGGAACAGGGAAGTGGGAGCTGAAACAACACACCCATAGTTATTTCAGTAGTAAGTTCATTGCCTTTTAGAGATTCTGTTACTTTCAGAGCATTGAAGCTCTCACTATTTTTTTGAACATAAGCTGAATATTCAGATAAGGGAACATAGTAGCACATCATAGTTTTAAATACCATAGAAACCAGCCTTGTCTAACTTGTGATCCAAATGTAAAAATCCATATTTATAGTCATAAAAGGGTTAAATTTTCTATTACAGTTCTATGCAAGTACTGTGTTTATGCAGCATTAAATTTTTCCATATATTACCACCTGGGAATAGATATTTCATTAGTTAGTTTAGAACAACTGCAGATACAGTTTATATTAAAAACGATGGTACAAAAATCAGCATGTAATGAATCGCATTAATTTAAATTAATCTCGAATGTCTGTTATTGTGAAATCAGGTAAGAAGTTAAAAATTGCAAAGTTAAAGCAGCGTTTTTCTTTCACAATTCTGCAGACAAGCAAACCTACACTTGGGGCCCCCGTGTTCACGTGACATCAAGAGGAAGCGGAAGCCTGTGGCCACAGCCTCTCTGTCTAGCGCAAGTGCAGGTAAATATGTGTGGCTACCACTTACTAAACACCTCCTGTGTCAGGCACTGGTTGTGTGTTTTTCGATGCCCTTTTAGAAATAATCTAGCCTTTCCGTAAGGTTATATTATTCCATTAACCACGGTAAAACTGAAGGTCAGAAGTACTTTGTCCAGGAAATCCCAACCTACTCCTCCCTTGCTTGAAACTTCTTAGCCTTTCCAGTGTCACATGACTTCCTTGGGTTTGAATCCTGTATTCTATTTTTCACAATCTTAGGTCATCTGACCTTTTGTTCTAGCACCAACAGGAAATCAGACTCTTGTGAATCCAATTAAGGTGACAGTTTAGCCAGAAACCAGGGAGCCATATGGAATTATTTACTTGCGTGTTTGGTGTACAGTCCATTACTTTCTCGCTTTTTTTTTGTTTAATTCTCACTGCTTGTGTATTTACCAATCATGGCTTATAAATTCTAATTAAAAAAAATTCAACTCAAAGCCTTTTCATTTTCTGGGTAAAAGTAGCTATAGAAATCAAACTCTTTGAGTGAGGGGCTAGTGACCAGGCTGGGTTATGAAGTGCCTCCTGAGGACTTGGAAACTCTCCATCTCAGGAGCTCATAGTGATTACTGGGGCAAATACGGAAGATCAAGGATCAGTACAATTTATGATCATTTATGCAACTTGCGTATGTTATCCTTAAAGAAAAGAGGAGGAGGGAGAGGTGCACATTTTGATCAGCAAGTTGTCTATAGATAAATTTTCTTTGGAGTTAAGGGAAGATAGTTGAATATCATTTGTAACCATGGGTAAACCCTGTTATTTTAATCAATTCAGGGTGAACTACTCTGCATAAAAAGTTTGGAGAGATAGCTCAGTGGGTAGGAGCACCGGTTTTGCACACAGGAGGGCCGGTTTCATCCCCTGCCGGGTCCTCTGAGCATTTCTAGGAGAGCCTCCCCACCCCCTCAAGCAATATACCAGGAGTCGCCCCTGAGCAACACCAAGTGCAGCCCAGAAACAAACAAGAAAATGATTGTGTGGAGGCTGATAGTACAGCAGGGAGGGCACTTGCCTTGCACACAGTCAACCCGGGTTTTGTCCCCGGCATCTCGTAGGGTCCCCTGAGTGATTCTTGAGTGCAGAGCTAGGAGTAAGCCTTGAATATTGCTGGATGTTGGCTTTTCCTCCCCCAGACCTGGTTGTGTGTTTGTAGACATGGTATTGCTTTTGAACATTTGAGGACCACTCCTCTTCCCCTTCCCTTTTCTTTCTTGTTGCGGTTGTCATTGCAGTGCCGCGGGTCATGTTTGTAGTCTACATGACAGTATGTGTGGAGCATTGCCAGGGATCAGAAGCTAGGGTATTCTGTTGGTGATGGAAAATTCACCGTGAGGGAATTGAGTGTATCATTGAGGATTTTATTCCCGCGCCAAAATAATACATATTGAAATGATCAGCTGGTGAGCTGACTACAGTGTGTCTGGCAAGCAAACTTCCCCTCCCTTGACGTTGTAAGTTTCCGCCTCTCTCGGAGAGTTCTGCTTGCTAGTGTGGGTGCCAGACAAGCTTCATGACTGTGGCACTTTCTCTTTGCAAGCCAAGTCCACATGGCCCGGGCAGGAACTGAAACATTTTGTGTGTAGTCATTTAGTTTCACAACAACTTTCTGCTATAGATGTTGTTTTTAAACCTCAGTTGACACATGAGAAAATTGAGGCTTAGAGTGGCTAAGTCGGTTCCCCAAGGTCACTTGGTGGATTAGTTGCAGAACCCAAACCAGGCCTGTTTCCCTGTGACTCTGAGCTGCCCTCTTTAATACGGCAGGTGTTCGTCTTACTAGAGCCAGTAAGACTGGGTCCAAACTCTGCCCTACATCAGAACCCAGCCCCTCACCCGTCCTATGTTAGAAGCATTAAAACGCGCACCTCATTTGTCATTTTGTTCCTTTCTGGTTTTTCTCCTTAATATCTAACTTCCATGTAGTGCTTCTTAGTCTCCAAAAGTGAAGCCCCGCTAAGCTGGGTCTGCGCCCGCTACTCAAAGCAGGACGTGTCCTAGGCGGCATTCACTTGGGCGGTGACTGTGCATGCCCGCGGCTGGCCCAGCTCCTCCTCTCACTTGTTGACTAAGCTCGGCTCCACTGAGCCTTTCCTTTCCCTTTTTTTTTTTTTCTTCCTGCTCACAACCTGAGTGCCCCGTGGAGGTGAAGGACATAGCCCGAGCCTGCGCCATCAGTCAGCAGAACAAATGGGCTTGCTCTGCCTAACATCGGGCCATCTCGGATTCCACCTCTTTTCTAGAAATGAGTGATGAAGAGAGGTGCGTTCCGCTTTGCCGCTATATTAATACACATCAGGGGCCAGCTCCTGGCACTAAATCACGCTGCTGCATACATCTGTTATCGGACCCTCGCCCGGGTGATGAACAGGACTGCAGATAGAGGCTTCCTTGTGTCATTCTTTATAGGATTTTCCTAAAAGAATAAATAGCCCCGATCGCTGCCAACACTCTCCCCTGTCACTGTGATGAATTCAGCTTCTTTCCTAAACACGCAGCCACAAATCTTTCCCCTCCGCCCCTCCCCCGCAGGTGGGAAGTTTTGAGTTGAAATGGACTGAATTTAAAGATATTACCAGGACTGGGTTGGTGAGGAGCTGGAAGGAAGAGCTTATTTCCCTCATTTTTTTTTTGGGGGGGGGGGCTATTAATATTCACAAAGGTCCAGAAATACAACCCGTATGTAGGGTAGTTAGGTGCGTACTTTTTGTAAGGCGAGCACCTTTACATGCTGCTCTTCATCCCCACTGCTTTCCTCGCCACCCCGCGCGCCTTGCTAACATGCAGCTGTCTGGCGGGCCTGCCTGAGCCACCCCTGGGTCTCAGTGAATGGTGCGAGCCCTGTTTTGGAGTCCAGCACACCGGGCCTGCACATCTCTGCCTCTGTTGCTGGGAAAATAGGGCATTTTCCCCAGAACTGGCATGAGGAAGGGGGCCTGCTAAAACAGGGGGCCTGGCATCAGCAAGGAGTGCCCAGGAAACTCCCTTCCTTGACGTGAGTTTCTTCATCAGAATCTTGACATATAGCGTCCCGTTCCTTCTGCAAAGTAGACACGTGCCCTCCGCTACAGGACTTTGTCTGCAGCCCCTGTCTTTGGCCATTCCTAAAAGCTTTTCTCATCTATCATCCTCTCTCTGGGATAGAGAATGTGTCCTTAGAGACTCAGTGGAAGGGGGACACAGCTTCTGACCCAATTGTGGGTGCCTTCGGGTTCTAAAACAACTGGGCAGTGTGGTCAGAGCAGTGCTGTGGCGACAGGGAGTGTCTGTCTGCTTTCCTCTCTGCGGTCACTTCAGCATCTACTATAATAAGTCAGAGGGTAGATTCTTTAGATTTTGTTTGTTCGGGGTTTTCTTGTTCATTTATTTTTGGACCACACCCAAGCAGCGCTCGGGGACTGTTTCTGGCTCTGTGCTCAGGACCCTGGTGGTGTTTGCGGCACCATCTGCAGTGTCAGGATGAAACCTGGACTAGATGCCTGCAAGGCAAGAGCCTGGACCCCCGTGCTGTCTCTCTGGCCCCTACCTCACGCTCGTTAGGACGACTCCAGAAAATAGGGAGCAGCAAGTGTCGCAAAGGATGGAAGAAATTGGAGGCCTGTGTATTACTGGAGGCACGGTGTAAGCAACAGTGACTGCTGTGGAAAACTCTTTGGCAGTTTTTCAAAACCCTTACCTAAGACCCTCGGGTGGTCAGGCAGTCCTGCTACTTGGTATAGAGCTAAAAGAACGGAAAGCAAGGGTTTCGACAGTAAGCCCACAGTTACAGCAGCACGAGTTACAAGGGCCCAGAAGTAGTAGCTCAGAATTTTCTAGAATTTTGTCATATTTTAGGGTGGTTTCACTCTCAACTGATGGGTGTCAGGATGGTTTGTGCTGCTTTGCTCAAAGGCATTTGGGAATGTGAGGACAAAGTTTGGTGGTCATCACTAGGGCACACTCCTGCTATTTGGCAAATGGGGCCCAGTAGGGTAATTACGTGTCGCATTCAGAACAGTGTTGGACACATTGTCTTATGTGCTCTTCCCTCCCCTCCCCCCCCGCCCCATTTCCTAATTATGTCTGTTAGGACACTACCAGACTAGAGGTAAGGGAGCCACATGGTATAAAGGCCGAGAGCCTGGGTTAATATTCGAGTTTGGGCCTTCTTGCCTGAATGATACACCTACCCTCTCAATGCCTCTGTTCTCTTCTCTGGAAAGTGGGAGTGACCCTATCAACTTCGACAGTTAAGGAAAAAAAAGATTGAGTCAGTACTGTCTGCACCCTTTTCCTTCCAAGGGCTATTTGGATATCTGTGACATCACTTGTGGGCTGTAGAATACAGGCAGGCAGGCTGCTGAGCAGGCAAGAAGCAGCAGACAGGAAGTGAATGTTCCATCATGAACCAGAGCCAGACCACGTTATTGCAGCGGGCCTTACATAGGCCACTGACCAGATTTTTCACACCCCTGGTTTGTGCAGTGTGGTCCCTTGCCATCAGTATTTAGTGATTATTACATTTATATTACTGAATTGATTCATTTGGGCCATATCCAAGGCAGAGAAGTGTTTTTCTGATTTAATTCCTGCCTTTATGTTCCTATAAAGAATGAAAGGGGGTGGTGTTGGGGTGAGGGGGGAACAGGACAGGAATGCAGCTCAGTGGTTGGTATATGTGCTTCGCACTCTGCCGGAAATGACCTCTGGGCGCTACCAGTGTGGCCGCCAAACAAACAGAAAAACCCTGTGTGACTGCTGGTGCTGATAGGGCACAACAGAAGTACAGGACGAAGAAGACTTGCTTTGGGGTGTGTCTCATACTAATTTGTCTCTTCTGGATATTTCTCTTCCTTCCGTGATGGGAGCAGTCCACGTGGATGCCGCCGTGGAACCAGCTGCACCAGCACCGCAGACCCAGAAATCTCCCAGCTCCGAGTGGCTGGGCAGGACCTCGGCAGCAGAAAAAGGCGCCCACGGCCCTGCAGCCACGTTCTTCAAGATGCCCCAGGAGAAGAGCCCGGGTTGCAGCTAGAGCACCGGGCGGCGGGCTCAGGGTCCCAGCGTCTCCAGACAGACCTTCCCCACCTGGACTCTCCTCTCAGCCGAGCAGCAGTCTCTGGTGTTCTCGAAAACCCTGTTGCAGACATCGGGTCTTTTCAAGACAAACACAGAAACCCAGTGCAGTGCGGGGCAGGGTGGCAGTCTTCTTTCTAAGGCCGCCCTCTGCCGTTTTGGTGGTCTGACGTCTTTGTGCTGAAGAAAAACCCCTAACGGCTTTTTGCGAGCCTTTTAGGGCTTGTTTTTATCATGTTGAGGAAGTCCCAGTTTGCATTGCTGTTTCAAACCCACTTAGAATTCAAATCAGACCCGTGTGGAATTGTGTTTGCGGGAGGCTTGCCTGGGCGCCAGCTCTCGACTCCCCACAGTGCCAATAAAGACAGAGCCCCCATTCCCCGATGGGGAAGAGACACCAGCAGCACTGGCCCCGGGCCTCCCCCGCCTGTGGGCATCTGCATCAGACCTTGCTTCCTCTCTGCAGCCACCGTTCTGGAAGAGCCCCGTGCCGCCCCTCATGCAGACCTGTGTCACAACCCAGGGGCCTGTGTATACTGCACACTGAAAGGAGTGGACTTTGTCTTCCCACTTTTTGCTACAGTGTAAACCTTTCCGTCCTTAAGGGCGCGTATATGTTAGTATTATAGGTCAGTAACCTGCCACAGAAATTCATGCTCGAGTATAATAATGGCCCCTTGGAGCCATACTTTGGGATGGGGAAAAAAAATGTCTTTTTTGACATGCCTTTATACTTGGTGTGTTGATGATGGCTTCACTGCGGGGCGTGTTATATAGACAACCAGGCCAGAAGCTGGATGCTGCTTTATCAAAGTGAGGAATGAGTGAATTCCCCGAGCTGGGGAACAGGCCAGTGGTGTCAGGGGTCTGGTGCTCAGACCTGGCTGACTCCTTTTGTGCGTGTCCACGGCTTTTTGCTGGAACATGCAGAAGATCTTCTGTAAGTGTTCACTTTTCTGGTGCCCCCCCTAGGCCAGGTTTGCCCAGGTGGGCCTTGCCGCTCCCCCCTTGGGATGCTAGAACAATCCAGGGAGGCTGGAAGTACCTCCAGTATAATGGGGGGGGGGGGCTTTTGTTCGTTCACTTCAAGGAGTTCCAAGGGGGGCACCAGACCAAGTCAGCTTGGGGATCTCTGCTCAGGGAGCACCCAGCTCTGTGCCTGGGCGGTTTGTGTGCTGAGCAGGGATGCTGGGCTCACCCCCCCCCTCCCCCAAGTGCCACCTTTCCTTTTGCTCACACAGTGTGTCCTGGAGGGCTGCTCTCCCCTGTCTTCGTCACCAGTGAGTGTCTTGTGCTGTGGGGCCTCCAGGGTGTGGCGCTAAGTCAACACCCTTTGACAAGGCAGAGTGTGCCAGTTGCCCCTTGCAAGGAACACTGTAGCGGGGGCAGAGTATGGGATGAGGGCTACCTAGGCCCACCCAGCAACCCCAGGAGCACCCCCGGTTCTCCCATGCCCGTGGTCCTGCCCGCGTGCCGTTCCGGCGTTGAGGGGAACGCCTCTTCTCCCAGCAGCCCTCCCCCCAGGTTCCCGCCGTATCCCGGGGTGTACATTCCCAGCGTGATTTGTTGGACTTCCGGGAGAAGCAGCACACAGACGTGCTGTGGTTCCCTTGGCATCCGCTTCGTGGCTGTAAAAGGCTTTACAGCCTTCGTGGTTCAGGGAGCATCTTTCCTCCGTGATGTGTTGCTTCATAGTTCTCTCTGCCTGTGACCACAACACATGTGTATATTACAGCCCTATTTACATTTTACTGTCTCTGTGTCAAGAGGGGTGACTGCCGCCGCCATAGAGGCCGGGTAGCCACCACGCTTCGTGACTCGCTCCTAGTCTCCTAATCAAGGCTCCCAACACCCCAGACTTTCTGACTCGCTCTGCCCTGGGTTCTGACCGTGTTCTCATCGCTAGACCTGAGTGAATCTGAAACCCGTATATCTGTCGCAGTGTGCCGTGAATGTCTCATCATCTCTCGGGGAGCTATGTACTTCCGAGTACTTTCATAGCGATCACCCCAATACGCCACACCTAACTGTAATAAGTGGGGAAGAAAATTAATTGCCTAAGCGGAGAGCCATTAAGCACACAAATACTTTCCAATCCATGGTTGTAAATCGTGCACCTCATTTTAAGCTGCTGTTTGAACATGTGTACAGATTTATTAACCAATTTATCCTGCTTGTTTTCTGTATGGATCAATTCCAGAGGAATAGCTTTAGAATCAAGTGTATTTTGAATCTTAAACTTTTAATTTCCTTTTTTTATGTGTCAGAACGTATCATGTTCATATATTAAGAGTCTGTTAACCTTTCAACAAAAACACGCAACTGGAAAATTCGGTTTCATGACCTTTCAGAAAAAGTTTGCTGGCATGTCTTCCTTAAAAGATAACCCGGGAGCGCACATATTCTTGATCTGCTCAAAAGAAGTAACTGAAACCGAGTTACTTGGGGGTTCTAATTTGTCCCAATTGACTACACAGTCTTGTCTGAAATGTAATCCTGTGTGTTGTCCAGAGTGGGCAAAAGTCAAGATATATCTACTTGCATGATCATCATTCATGAAAGAGTTTTGCATACAAGTTTAAGGGAATTTGAGATTTTTTTTTTCAGGTGCAGTTATTTTTAAGGAAACATCTTCCTTTGCCTCAAATTCCTATGTTGCTTTTTGGTAAGAACTACTCAGAAGAGAAAATTGGTAGCTATCTATGTGGTGCCAAAACTGGGAGGGGCAGAATGTAATCTTGATATTGTAGAGTAGAGAGTGCTCGACAAATAGGCCACTCTTAGCCTAAATACTTCAGAAATCAAATGCAGTTGAAAAATCGTGTGTGACGTTTTGCTGGGCCTTTTGAAACAGGCTGTAAGCAAGACTGTTTTGGCGACAGAAGCACCAGCTGATAGAAAGCCTCTCAGTCTGAGATGTGTCTGTTCCCTTTGCTGAGTCAAGTCCCGTGCTCGGGGCAGATGGATCATAGACTTGTTCACAAACCTCGATGTGCTCTCAGACCCCAGTCAGGGATGCTCCGGTGCCACAAAATAAAGGAGCGGAGTTCACCCAGAAGCCACCTGGGTCGGGCACATTTGGGTGTTGGGAGACAGCAGCTGGCACTGCCATTGCTTGCTTGCAGGAGGGTGCTCCCTTGGGGTTCCTGGCACCAGCTCCTGGAATCTGCGGTTGATGTCAGGCTCAGCTTGATTCTGGCTTTGTTACCGAGCTGCAGCGCCATTCTCAACATTCAAAGCCAGGTTCAGTGTTCTGGAAGCCTGCAGTGCCTTCCCGGAGTTGGAGGAGAACCGAGTGAATTGCTCTGGCAGCTGCAAAGACCCAGTCTGCTCAGGGGCTTAGATACGCAGGGGCTGTAGTTGGTGGGCGTCAGCGGGTGCTTTGAAGTGCCCCCTTTTACTTGTCAGTATTCTCTTTACCCTTTTGCCCAGTTGGGACATTGGTGAAATTACTGGTGGTGGCAGCGATCAGAGGGATTCCTTGCACATCAGACAAGTTCGGAGGGGAAAGGAGGGGAAGCTGGTGGTTCTGCTAAACACAGGTGGTTCTGAGCTGCTTTGACCAGCGCTCAAATACCCAGGAACAGCAAAGCAGAAGAGGAACAAGGCTGATGAGTGCTAGTGCCCAAGTGGGGATTATCAGGTTTTTAACTGGCCCAGCAAAGCAACCGTAGGGCCCAAAGAAGAAATTCTCCTGCCACAGCCAATAAACATAATAAGGACTTAGTTAAATTGCCAGATTTAGAAAGTGAAATGGCCACATACAGTATTAGTGAGGCCTGGACGTGGGAGGCAAGGGAAGAGGGGAACCACTGGGTTCCCAGCACCAGTTGTCACTGCTTTCCTGGCCTCTCCCCCAGCCCTACATCATCAGAAATGCAGAGTGCAAGCCCTTGGGGGCCCCGGTGCTTGCCCAGAGCTGAGAACCAGAGGCTTTGCCACAGAGAAATGTTTTAACTTCCTGGTCTTCCTCTGAACTCTGAGGTGCTCTTTTATTTCCTGCGTAAGTATAGAGATGTTTTATATATGCTTCTTTGCAGAAATTGTTAATGTCTTTTATTTCCCATACATATTCCTCAAGTACCTGTAAGATCCCTTGGAAATATTGAGAAGAGGGTATGGTGGGGGGAAATGCCATGGAGACCAGTTTTAGATGGATGGGAATAACCTTTTAAACACGGATTAAAATATAACAATAAATTTTCAGTCTGCGTGAGAGTCTTTTTTCATAATTGTCAGCGATAATGTTTGTGTAAGGTACTGCCCTCATGATTTCACAACATTTCTTCATGACATCTTAGATTCATGGGGACTTATGTGTTTTTCCAGCATCATAATGATGAAGCATTAAAGTGTGACTCCAGATGGAAAAAAAATTGGAAGATTAAAAAAAATATTCTAGAGTATGTAGCAGTTGTGTGATAACTACCTGTTGAGTTAATGGTTTTCTTTGCTAGTACTTAATAATCTCAGTACTTCAGAGCATGTAAACATCAATTTTCAGTGATCCTGTGTAGTCACACCCAGGATCTCTGCTTTACATTCCAGTAATTTTGCAGGACCTGAAGACCAGTAGCAGCTGTAGGTTGTATTTCTTTGTCTTGACTTATGGATTTCATGTTCCAGTATAATCTGGTACTTACTCTCAAAGTTTCCCAACAAAATTGTCATGAATTTTTCTTAGTAATTTTACTACAAAAGCCAACCAACAGTCAATCCCCTTTTTCCAGGACCCTACCTGGCTCAGGAGGCGTGAAGTTCTCTAGCATTGTTTCCCCAGATGCTCTCATTTTGTGGTCAGAGTGGTGTGAGTTATAAAGATGGCACAAGCATGTACCACTGAAAGAGGTGTTGAGTGGCATGATTGCCTGAGAGAAGAGGCACAGCTGGCCACGCATAGGCTCGGATGATTAGGCGCAGGTCAGAAACGGCCTCTATGGGGTTTTCCTGGGAAACGTCAGGCA